GGGCCCGCTGGAGGGGCGAGCACCTCGGTTCAGCAGATTGAGGCGGAAAAGGAAACTTGCGCGACAACGCGGCCTCTCCCCCCAATATGTGTTCGCCACCCAAACTTCAAAGCAACGGGCGATATTTTTTAAATTTTAAAGAAACGAAATCCATTGGCCCAGTGACTGTAATTGACCTTTTCCACCGCGGGGGAGTCAAATTGGTAATCCTCAAGGGCGAGTTTTGTTGGGACATCCCAACTGGGTCTGGGAGCGAAATAATCTGAGGGATCGGAGAAGGGGACTATTAGGGTTTTATTCCGAATCCGATTTCCCAATAATCAATACCTATCAGTCAGTCCATGGTCCGGGCCTGGAGTGGACGCCACTCCGCATCCACAGAAGACCGCATCCGCCGCCGTCCCGCTCTTCCTCGGGTTTGTTTGAGCTTTAGCATTTCTTTAAGGCCCAGATGGGCCTAAAATAAAGAACTAAAATAAAAATAGGCGTCCTCCACGCGAAACGCCTTCCCCCTCGCCTTAAAAGTAGGCGTGTTTTCGGCGCTTTGCCCTAAGTACAAAGGAAAGTTCAAAGACGACCCCTGACACCTTGCTTCCAAAACACGGGGACCTGGGAGTAAAAGAAACACCGCAGAAGCAGGGCCCTGGGTACGGAGGGGTGGGGGCAGGGGGCAGCTGCGCAATGCCTGAGTGGCACCCGGGCGCCCAGGCGGTGGCAGGTCGGCGTCCCAGGCACTCCCAGCGAGGAGGCTGGGTCGCCTGCTTCGGGGGCTTCAGGCTTCCAGGCGAGGGCCGGAGGCCTCCTCCACGCTGGGCCTCCTAGCCCGGGTTTAACTCTAAGACCCGGCCCGGGGTCAGCTTGAACAAGTTGTCTAGTCTGAGCCGGCAACTTTATCTCCGGGCAGGCTGGGGTCAGGGCTGGGCAGAAAAGTGCCACCCTCCAACCCCGGACGCCTACCGTCTTCCCTTCCCGCCCCGGCGCGCGCCGAAGCCACCCGGAGGTACAGAGATTCCTCCCAGCCCGGGGGCGTCTATGGCAGAGGCAAAGGGAAACCATGAGGGTCTGAGCGCCTCGGTTCGGGGAGCCCTAGGGGCCCAGAGTTTCGGAACCGCTTGGCAAATGCCATTCATTCTCAAGGCAGCTCCCTAGACCGGGGCGCAGCCGAGGCTCCGGGGGCACGCGCTCCGGCTAGATCGCGACTTCCGCGCGCTGGGTGTGGAAGCGGCTCAACCAAATCCTCAGCCTTCCCGGCCGGGGAGACCCTGCCCAAGCACGCGCCCCGCTCGGCTCTGGGCGGGAACCCAGGCGCGCGCGCCCTGGTTCGGGGGCCGAAAGCCTCGGCCCTTCCAGGAGCTCAACGATTCCCTGGGCGGAGTGGAGGGGAGGGCTCCCGCACCCGAGGCGGACTTCCCTCCGGAGCCCCCGCCCCTCGCCGCCCGAAGACGCGAGGCTGTGTGGCCGCGCCCTTGGGTAGCCACCGCCGCGGGAAGGGTGCCTCCTCTGGACCCTCGGGGGCTCTGCAGCGGCCAAACTGTAAACAGAACGTGGGGACCCCCGGGGCAAGCTTGGCTGGCCGCCTCGCATAATGCGGGGTATCCGAGTGGCGGGCTGTCAGCGGCTCCCCTCTGTCGCCCCCTAGGGAGCCGGCGCTCACGCGCTGAAGCCCTGGACCCAAGGCCCCAGCT